AAATGGTTCTGCAATACACTGTTATGACCTATGCTATTTGTTAATTATTTAAACAATGTTAAGTAGTAATTGTAAATGTTAAGTAGTAGTTGGTAAATTATTTTACCTCCTCAAACATTTTATGTTAATTTTACAGATGGATTAATTTTTTCAAGCTGAAGGTGATTTTCTAAAAGGGTTTGCAACATTAAATTGTGGAAAACAGCCACTATAAATTAATTATGTAACAGACCGACCAAAACCCGTATTACGGGTTGCTTTTTGCTAGTATCTTTTAATTATTCAAAGCATTTTAAGACTTTGAACAATTAAAATTTTGTTTCCATTTATTTAATCAGCTCCAGGGGCTTTTTTTTTTTAATAGATTTAAACGACACTTGAAACTCCTCAAATGATAGCTTAGAAGATAAACTATTGGAGCAAATGCAATCATCCATCGGTGTTAAAAAGTTATTGAACACAACTTTGGTATTAGGAATTTTTTTTGCTAGTTTGGAACCGATATCAATAAAGAATTTGTTAAGCTCATGAGCTATTAATCTAGGTTCAAAAACATCTTTGTTATCCACTCTAATCACCTGCGGTAGGGAACCTGAGCAAGTTTTTTATTTTCCACAATTTCTCTTAATATTTTCCAGTACATTTAGAGTCGTTCTTATTTTCAATTAATTTTGAGTAGTAATTCTTTTTTAAGTTTTTACCAGTTTTTTCAAATAGATATTTGTAATCTTTGTATATTTTTCGTTTAAAGGTGTTTTTGTTTTAAAGTAATTTACATATAGCTTTTGTTTGATCTTAGATGATTTTTTAAAACCCTTAGTTATCCAAGGAGCATTTAAGCTTTTTTGATTTTTTGTTTTTTCACAGATGGGAAAATTGACATCATAGACAGAATAAAATATTTAAAAAAAATTTTTATAAATTTTATTTGCGTCTAAAATAAAATTTATATGCTTCCAATGAAGCAGTGATTGTTTTTTAAACTGTTCAATATTGTTTATATTATATATACGTTTACTTATTTTATTATTAGTTTTGGTTTTAATTTTAGAATTAGAGTTAAATGATAGAAATATTGGAAAATGATCAGTTATATCTGCTTTCAATATACCTTTTTGTATATTGTTATCGAAGACATCAGATGTAATAATGTTATCAATGAGAGTTGCTGAGTTTGCTGATACTCTAGTTGGACAATTAATTAAGGGAATTGCTCCTATTTCAAATATTAAATCATAAAATTTTTTTATTTTACAGTCATTCTCGTAGTTTAAAAAATTCATGTTTAAATCACCAATAATAATTTTTTTTTCTAATTTTGCCTATTTTGATAACATTTTGATCAAAAAACGTGCTCAGAATCTTACTCAGCCATCAGTTGGTCGATAACAGCAGCTTAGTAATACATTTTTAGATTAACTATTTAAGATTTCAATAGTTAAAAATTCTTTATCGCAGTCAGAAAAGACATATCTGGAAAAACCCGAGATTAAAAAGGCTTATTCATGTATTTAAGAATATCTCATGTGCTTGAAAAGAAACGCTTTGGCAGCTTTTCTTCTATATAAAAGAAAAGTAGTTTAATCCTTACTTAAATAAAGTTTATAAATTAAATTAAATTTGATTTTTAGGTGAAGTAGTCAAAATAATAAAAGTGATTTTTAAGTGCTGAGTATCTTAAATAATCCTTAAAAAATAAGTTTCATAACGTTCAAAAACAAAGTATTTATCAAAATATAAGCATAAAACTTTTTAAATAAATAATTTTTAACACCATTATTTTTTCACGAAGGTAAGTTTTGATTTTAACACCATTTTTTTCTTGAAGGTTAGTTCTGCAGTATTTATTTTTAAAAAAATCTTTAACTTTTTTTTTTGAAATAAATACTGCAGAAATATATGACAAACAAATAAATGCTTTTTTGTTAATATCTCAATAAATAAATTGATTTTGTATTTTTAATTAATTCAAAACTTATTTTATAATTTAAATGCATACATAAATTTTTATTTACGTAAAGCTGAGCAATTACTCAAATTTGTCTCGGCACATGGGAATCCCTTTATTAATAAATATATACATACAAATGAGAAAAAATTATTTCGAGAAAACTATTTGGATATCCGTAATAAATAAAAATGAGTAAAACATCCTGAATTCCGGAAATTTACGGAAAAAGATAATCCCTGTAAACACAAATAATGCATACAAAGTAGCTCATGGATGAACAAGCACCGCGCCTGAGGTCATGACAGAACACAAATATATGTAGCAAGTTATTAGATTTAAAGAAAAGTTTTTAGATATTGGTTTACTAACTCTAATTATTTTTGTTTCAGTTGCTATTTATAAAAATTATTATACTTTTTTATTAACCTGCTTTAAATATCAATTAAATTTAAAAAGCCCACTCACTAAACATCATCAGCGATATTGTGAAGCATTTTCGCTTCCTCGTCATAAAGTATTTTTAACTTTTTTAGTTGATTTCTATCTAGTTTATTTAATTTTTTTTTTTTTTTGTAGTTATTTTAGGTGCTCCCAGAAGTCCTTGCGGTCTTATCATAGAGCACCGTGGGCATTTAACAAGAAGTTCACGCCTCTTTCCATACCAATGTCGCTTGTTGGGCTAAAGCTGGGGTTGAACCTGGAACCTCTTGATTCTGAGAATCTCTAACCACTACGCCACGGCTGCTCAATTTCTATAGTAATTTAATGATTTAATTATTTCATTTGTTCTATTTATTACGAAGAAGAATTGTTTCAAATATGTTAAACTTTTTAAACTACGCAAAGCATAAAATATAAATCTTTTTTATTTATAAAATAATTTAGCTTAGATAAAAAAAAAAAGTTGCGTTAGATAAAACTAAAAGTTGATAAAACTTAATTTAAATAAAACTAAAGTTAGATAAACTTAGATAAAACTAAAGGTTGCCCCTCTAACCCATCCCTCCTTAATCTAGCACTGGAAATAAGACAGGAGTATATAAACAAAAAATTATTCAATACTCTTTATCTCAATCGTAAGATGTTACTTTATATAAAAAACGTCACTTACTTTTATAAAATAATTATAAAAGAGCAATGTTTCGAAAATATTTGTTCTAAACGTAATTTATTTTGCTTTAAGTTTTTTCGCATAAAAAGATATTTTATTTTCCTAGTTATTTTGTAATAGTCTCCCAATAGTACAAATATTCTTTTGCGCATTTTTTTTTTTGCTTATTGAAATGTTCTCAAAACGACTAAAAAATCTGGCCAGTTTTTTGCAGCTAAATATTATTATCGTGGTTAGTAATCGAGAGCGATCCCTCCCACTTCCTGACCAAGCCTGAATGGTCACAACTTAAATGGAAAATGATCTATGATTGCAATCTTGTTAAGAGTAAACTTTTATATCAGGCTTGGTCGGGAAGCGGGAGCGATCGCTCTCGAATACTGACCACGGAAATTATATTTAGTTGCGTAAAACTGGCCAGGTTTTTTAGTCGTTTTGAGAACATTTAAGTTTATGTACGAAACAAAAAATTTTTGTTTTACGGACATACATGGAAACATAAAAAACTTGAATGTTCTCAAAAAATCTTTGTGCGAAAGAATAAAAAGAATGTTTGCGAACACTAAAAACCCGCCAAATTAACGAACAAACTAATTCTATTGGTTCAAAAAATACGCTGATTAAGTGAAATAAAGTTCTAGAGTATTCTGTTAAAATGTTTTAGAAATTGTATTATTCACGATTTGTTACGTTTTGAGATTTTTAGCATTGTTTTAAGAATTTATATTATTTGTTTACGAAAATAAATGTTTTAAATATATATTAGTTAAATTGTTAAAATTTTCAAAGTTTATTATAAATCATAGATTTTATTAGTATATTCTTATTTTTTATTTTAAAAGAGATTGTATTCTTTAAGTAAATGTAATTTTGTGTATTTATTTTTTATCGTAATGTATCTTTTAAAGCAATTTTTATGATTTAAACAAAGACTTACAAAAATAATTGTGTTTTAAATGAAGTTTTAATCGTTAAAGTTAATAAAACTAATTATGTAACAAACATATAAGAAGTTTCTGGTTACTAAACACAAACAACGCATACAAAGTAACTCGCGGATGAACAAGCATCGCGCCTGAGGTCACGACAGAACACAAATATATATAGCAAATAATTAGATATAAAGAAAAATTTCTAGATATTGATTTACTAACTCTAATTATTTTTGCTTAAGTTGCCATTCTTAAAACTCGTTATACTTTTTTCTGCTTTAAACACTAATTAAAATTTAAAAGCCCACTCACTAAACATCATCAGCGATATTGTGAAGCAGTTTCGTTTCCTGGTCATTAAGTATTTTAAACCTTTTTAGTTGATTTATATCTTGATAATTTAATTCTTATAGTAATTCAATGATTTAATTATTTCATTTGTTTATCTTACTAAGAAGAATCGCTTTAAATATGTTAAACTTTTCAAACTACGCGAAACATAAAATAGGTATTGAAAAAATTAACTTTTTTATTTATAAAATAAATTAAGCTTAAGTAAAACTAAAACTTGCAAACTTAGTTAAATAAAGAATATTTGTTTTCCTTTTAAACAATCTTTTAAGTTGACGGTTGTATGTTTCTATGAAAAGTTGATGTTTCTATAAAAAACATTGCTTAATTTTATAAAAAAAATTATAAAAGAGCGATATTTCGAAAATATTTGTTTTAAATGTAATTTATTTAGCTTTAAATTTTTTCGCGTTTAATGATATTTTATTTGCCTACTTTTTTTTTTTTGTAATTGTCTCTCGTCGGTCCAATTAATCTTCGTCGCTTTTTTTTTTTTGCTTTTTAAAATGTTCTCAAAACGACTAAAAAATCTGGCCAGCTTTTCGCAACTAAATATTATTTACGTGGTCAGCAATCGAGAGCGATCGCTCCCGCTTCCCGACCAAGCCTGCTTTTATATAAATATAAGGATATTTAAAAAAAAATTAATTTTTACCTGGTCCCATATACAATATTCGTTTTGAATTTGGTTTTCTTTGAAAAAAAACTTTCCAGCACCCCCTTTATTTTCAACTTCGAAAGAAACTTTTTTTTTTCCATTCACTAATGCGTAACCACAATCAATATGTTTAGAAACTAAAATTTAATAAACACATAAAGCATAAAACGATAATTAATCTAAATATTAATGGGTTAATTTATTAGTAGTTTAACATTAGTAGTCGTCTTACGTCATTTTAAAGTAGTTTCTAGGCTTTTCTATACGCCTATATCGTCTTTAGTCTTTTAAATAATTTAAGCAGGTTTTATTTTTTAGAGCAATTGGAAAGAGTTGAATTTCTTTTTAGTTACATCAGCTTACTTTATTGTTATTTTTTGTTATTAGAAGGATTAATAAAAGTAAGCATTTTTAGACAATCAAATTGATTCTGATTTGAATAAGCTCACTATTCATTTTTATTTTAAGAGAAAATTTTATTTATGTATTTAACATGAAAAGTTAAATAAAATAAAACTGTTATTTTTGGACATGTAAGTTTATATACATTAATTTGCGTATCTGAGAAAGTATACATATACTTTCGTATCTGAGAAAGTATACATATACTTTCTCATAAAAAAATAATAAAGAAAAGACGAAGTAAAAAAATTGTGCTGGACGTTATCATTCTTTGTTAACAATATTGTTTATTGTAGGCTGCATTCTTTGTTAACAATGTTGTGCATTGTAGTCATTTTTGTTAACAATGTTGTACATTGTAATTATTCTTTGTTAAATTAAAAATAATTGAGAACAATAAATATTGTTTTATATATTAAATAAATTATTTGATTTCATAAACAGTTAGTACTTTCTTTTTGTCATACTATTTTGTAAACTATATATACTTATATATATATATATATATATATATATATATATATATATATATATATATATATATATATATATACATATATATATATATATATATATATATATATATATATATATATATATATATATATATATATATATATATATATATATATATATATATATAAACTTATAAAAAAAAATGATTTTATTAAATCTTAAATTAAATTGTTTAGGTTTTTATTTTAAAATTGTTTTTTTGAATAATAAAATTATTTTTATGTTTTTCAATTTTTGATCTCAATAGTAAAGCAGTGGTTTAACCACTACTTTACCATTGAGATCTACCTCAAAACAATCAGATCAAACCTCTACAAATTAACTAATGAGTTAAATTGTAGAGGTTTATATATTATATATATTCTGAAGTAATTGATTTTTTTTTTAACATATTGCTTTATATAAGGCATTTTTATTTTTTATTTTGGCTCTTTTAAAAAGTTTTTAAAATAGTTTTTAATGGTTAAATAAAATTGTTTAATAGATAAGGAAAATTCAACATTGTATTTTTGTTTTTATTACCAAATAATATCTTTGTTATTAGGATCGCAGGTTTTTGTTGAACATTTTTACTTGAACATTAATATTTATCTATTTGTAGATATGTTTTCACCACTTTAGGCTAATAATACTTTAATATTTTTATTTAACTTGTTTTCTTTTTTTCCTTTATTTTTTAAATAACCACAATTTATCAAAATTATTTATTTTATTTTTATGTTGACTTAAAATAATAGTAAAGAATTTTATAGAAAAGATCATAATTCTTAAGACTCTTTTGTGTTTATTTGTTACTACAGTAGTAATACTACTGTTAATATGTTTATTGATAATAGTGAAATTGAAATGGATGATATTAGGCTTGAACAAATTATTAGAAGAAATACTATCAACTTAAAAATAATTGATACTTTAGTGAAATGATTAGAACTAGACAAACTGAAATTAATTGCCGTCAAAATGTAAGAAATGTTGTTTGGCAAAAAAAATTAATTTATACCTAAATTAAAACATCCAGGTGAGGCAAGTTGAAAGTAATTATAACATAAATGAAAAAGATAGGCCTAGGCGAAATAAGATTAATCATTCTCATTACGTACGAAATGCTGTTAGACACAGAAGAATGTGTTGTACCAGATCTGCTAGCATTGTTGTGCTAAAAAATTTGCTCGATGAAACACATTTTTATGTTGCCATAATAAGAAGATAGTTTTGCTTCCATTTTCACTATTTCTGCAAGCTTTACAAGATTTATAGGAAATCATATATATCATAATTCCAATATCAATTTTTTAAAATATATTAGAATTTATAAAGCTTGTCTTTATTTTGCTTTATTTACTAATGTGGTTTAAACTATGAATCATAGGCCACCATGTTTAAAATATGTTGTCAAGTTTTTCGTTCTGTAGGTAATCTTATTCCAGATCAAGATATTCCCCCAACATTATCAACTGTATATCTCTGACTTACTTGCAACAGTAAATTTTGGAAAGCAATAACAGCAATCAACTTTGCTTACATAATTTAATGTTTTATTTGCAAACTATAGTTAGTGAAGTTGCAGTTGTATTCGTTGGAGAAGATGGTGTTCCACCTGATTCAAGAAAAGTTATTTACCCGAAAGGTCATTTAGAAGTTATATTGAGTATGTCAGCTAACTTAGATCCTACAGCTAACTTAGATCCTATAATTGGTGAGCAATCCTGAATATATAAAATATAAAAACCCATAATTGGTACACAACCCTGTACAACATGCAACATTGGTTAGAAATCATGTTAAATTATTTCAGTTTTACAATTATGGGGTAATATATGGGGTAATAATAGGTAAATTGTAAATATATTATATATATATATTTACAATTATACCTTTAGTAAGTCAAAACTTCTGTTCAATAATTTATGGCAAGAAACTATTTCAGCAGTATACTGCTGATGCATATGTTAAAATTGAAGAGCAGTGTCTAGCTTTCATAAAAACTAAGCAAAGCAAACTGAGAAGTATGTATTATGATACCTTACATGAAGATGTAAGCAAACTTGGTAACACAATCATAATATTAGACCAGAGTGCGTTATAGTTTTCTATTTACTTAGAACTATTTTAAAAAACTTTGAAAATGCTATGGTTATAAATAAAAATTAAAAAGTTTAAGTAATAAAAAGATCTGGTAAACCAAATCTTTTTATTACTTTCACCTGCAACCCAGTATAGTGGTGTGTAAAAAAAAATACACAAATTTATTTTCAAATGTTGTTAATTAATAGTTTATAATAAGTATGTTTTCATGTGTAATAAAATAAATGTTAATTTTTTATAAAATATTATATGTTAAAGTATATTTGTTTAAATTCTGTTTTTTTTTTGTTTGTTTTGTTTTAAAAGCGTTATTTAAAAATTTTTTTTAAATGTTTAATTCAAAGTTACCAACTATAATTTGTTGGACCCATCAGTTAAGTGCTAATATTTATATTTTAATTGAAATTCAACCTAACGTATTTCTCCTGTTTATTATACTTAACTTTTTATTTCTGATAGCTTTCAGATATTCTATGATATAACGACTGATAAGTTTAAGACTATAATAATAACTTTTTTATTGTTTTTATTTACTATTATTAGACTTGTTACTTATATTTTAGTTCTAATATTACTACATTTTTTTAACAAACCGAATTTTATTAAGTTTTCATATAACTGATTATACTCATCATAAAATTAAATGATTTATAAAATATATAAAAATACTCATCTTGGGCAGATGTTAAATGCATCCGGCTGCTGTCTTGTAGAAGGCCTCCTAGGCAAAGACTTAAGGGGTAAACAGATTTTATCTGTTGACCAGCCTCGCACACCTTCTACATCTATTAGGCTGGCGCAGATGTATTTTTAATACATTGTTTCCAGTTTAGAATGTTGAACGCTGGATCTTCTTGACTCAATTCATGGGTTTTACTTTTGTCTCTGTTTTTATGACTAGGCAACTCATTCTATTATCTCCAAATGAGGGTACAGCTCGCTAAACCTATCATTCACCAATATTCTTGATCTTCGAAGTAACTTTTCTTCTGTTGAGTCTTATCTCTTGCAAAGTTCACCAGACCTACTTGCTCTTTGTGAGACTAATGAGTTCAGCTGTCTCATCTTGTGATCTTAGTGTTGATGGTTATCTTCCTTTAATTTGGTTTAACTAGGTTTGAATCCACAGACTACTCTTTTATGTGCTTTCGTTTAGCACCACTTCACTCTATCACCTTTCTCTTTGTTCTATATCGCTCTCCCTCATCTCAAGACTGCACTCTTCTTGATGTTATTTCTGATTATATTGACCAAGCCCTCATTCTTTATCCACCAGCCAATATTGTTGTTGTCGGTGACTTTAATGTTCATCACACTGAATAGCTTGGCTCTAGTGTCAGTGATTCAAATAGTCAACTTTCCAACTCGCTTTCCAGACAACCCAAATCATTTACCTTCTCTACTCGACTTATGTCTTGTTACTGATCCTAGTCAGTGCTCAATTTTTTCACACTCACTCTTAGGTGCTTCTGATCATGGTTTGGTCTCTCTCAAACTATTATCTCGTTCTTCTTTACCATCAGAATCCCCCTATCATCGTACATCTTACAACTACCTTAAAGCTGACTGGTACTCTTTCCGTGATTTTCTTAATAATGTGCTTCTTACATAACTTCGTGGATTCAGGCTGGCACGGAATCCTTTATTCCCTCTCGACTATTCCAGGTCAAGCCTCACTCTTCTCCATGGTTTTCCTCACATTGTGCTGCTGCAATTGCCAATTGAAACCATTACTTCCTTATCTATCAGCAAAACAATTCTCCAGAAAACAGACGTCTGTTTATTACTGCTAGGAACCATTGTCTCCTACCCTTCATCTTCTAGGATTAACTCTTACTTCTGATCTTTCTTGGAAACCTTATATCAAATCCGTTGCAAAATTAGCATCTGCTAAAGTTGCTTCTCTTTATCGAGCTAGTCACTTTCTTACTCTGGATTCTATTCTCTATCTCTATAAATCTCAAATCCGGCCTTGTATGGAATACTGTTGCCATTTCTGGGGCGGATCTTCTAATGATGCCCTTTCTCTTTTAGACAAGGTGCAAAAACGCATTGTAAACATAGTTGGACCTGCTCTTGCAGCCAACCTTCAACCTCTGTCACATCGTTGTAATGTTGCTTCTCTTTCTCTTTTCTACAAATACTATAATGGGCACTGCTCTAAAGAGCTAGTGTCTCTTGTGCCATCTACTAAAATTCATTCTCGTGTTACTCGTCATTCAATTAAGTCTCATCCTTTTTCTGTTACTGTTCCTAAGTGCTCCAAAAACTCTTATTCGTCTAGTTTTTTTCCTCGAACATTAGTTCTTTGGAATTCGCTTCCGTTATCTTGCTTTCCTGATTCATATAATTTGCAACCTTTTAAGTCGTCTGTCAATCGTTATCTTGCTCTACAATCTTCATCTTTTCTCTTCCAGTAACTTCCAACACTAATTAGTGGTTGCTTGCAGCCTTGTTGAAAGCGAAGATAATTAAAAAAAAAATATTTCATATATATTTTTTTGAAGTTCAAACATAATTGTATCTTTTTTAATTTTTTTTAGTTGTCATCACTTTAATAGTTTGCTTGTTGTAGAAACATGGTTTTAATTTAGTAAATTTATATGATATGAATTTTACTGTGTTAATCATTATTAACAGTTATGAAGAAATCGGAATTCTAAACTATTGAGGTAAAAATAATTTTGTTTAGTGGCAACATTAAAAAGTTTTTTTTAATGGTTAAATGTACTAAAGCTATTTCGTGCTCATATTTTTTTTTTTTTTTTTTTTTTGTCATTGTCATTAAAAACAATAATTCAAGTTATGATTATGTAATTTATTATAACTTTTTTCAACACAGTGCCTTTGAAACAAAGTCTGCTTCCTCTCTGCTTAACGAAAATTTATTAATAAAGGGGATCATTATTGGAAACCCTGTTACTACTAAGGTGTTATGTATTTTTTGATACCATAATTTATAATGACCATGTTTAAGAAATGCTTTCAAGCCATTAATTCATGAACACAAAATAATAAATTTGTAAAATAATACTCCCCATTATTAATAAACTTTTTTATACTAAAACACAATAATAAATACGTAAAGTAATGCTCCCATCCCATTGTTAATAAACTCACTTATTCTAAAACACAATAATAAATATGTAAAATAATGCTTTTGAAGTTTAAAATGATATATTTTTTTGTTTATTTTAGTTATTGGTAAGTAAAATAATTAATTTAAACAAAAAAACTACATTTAAAAAACAGCAAAATAACAACATTTATGGGCAAGCAGTTTTAACAGATGTTTCTATCAGCAGGAAAGCATTTATTCTTTTTTACTCAATCTAATTCAAAACTCTTTGCAATAAATAAAATTGGGTAATATCTTTAATTATTTTAAATAATATCTATTATTATTTTAATATCTATAATTATTTTAAAAAACTTTAATTCTTGTAATTTTTTTTTTATGTCTTGAAATTGCTCAACGAACAAAGATTTTACTAATGGGTCTAAAAAAACAATTTGTGACATTCCAGCTTTCAAATTACTTAATAGTACTCGAGTTTCCAGCTCAAAAAGTACATTGGTTTTAATCATTTCATAGACTTGTTGTTTGTGTTAAGACTGTTATGACAGTTGGTATAAAAATCTTTTAGGACGGTTGGTAAAGAAACCTTTTTTTTTTTTCTTTTTTTTAAATATTTATATATATATATTTTTGTTATTCACCTCCTCAAGGCCGAGAAGGCCACTACAGACAAGGAGGCTACTTAATAGTGGTTATAACCCTCTCTTAACTCTATAACTCCCAAACACAAACCTTGACGAACAAGGCCGCTGCGCGGAGAAACAAGTTTAGCGCGGAGAAACAAGTTTAGCGCTACCAGGACGTGGTGGTTTTATGATGGTTGGTAAAAAATTCTTTATTATGACAACGACCATTATAACTTATAATAAATTTTATATAAATTTCTTACTCACTGCTTAGAAATGGTTTATCTCTTAGTCCTTCTAATGGAATAAAAATGGGTTGAGATCCTTGTGTCTTTACCTAAATAGTATTGTAATATATTAAATATAGTATATTATATTTTCATTAGATTCAGTTAAAAAATGTTTACCTAAAAATTGTTAAATTGATTTTGATTTCATTAACTTTCCTAGTTAAAAAGTCCTATAGGATCCTATAAGAATTAGTAACAAAAAAAATATTTAGATTTGAAGCCCATTAAATTAAAACACAAAAGTTAAAAAGAGTTTAAAGTTATCAAACTTTTTTTCTTTAAAAACCCTATATATAACACTAGGTCCTATAACCTTAGGTCCTATAGGACTTTTTGGTTAGGGTTGAACAAGTTATATAACATAATATAAAAGTTATATAACATAATATAATATAAAAGTTCTTATTACCTCCAAAACATCACTATAGTCTCCTAATGTGTCTGGCATAAACTTGACTGTGAACTGACAGCTCATACCAGGAGCTACAACACCATTAGCAGATGGAAAATCACCTGAAAAATACATTTTATTCTATAAGTTTGAACATTTTAGCCTATCGAACTAATAGTTCAATAAAAATTCCTACAAATCCATAAGCTAATAAATAGTCCATAAACATTTTATTGGAAAATAAAAGTTACAATTAATTTTTTAAATATAATTTTTGCTAAATTCATTGAAAATAAAAATTAACATTACTACTGTTATTGCGTGTAAAATTAAATTTTTTTTTTCTTCCTTTTTTTTTGCAACTCTCCCTCTACCCTAAACTTTCCGACTGTCAACCCTAAACTTTAAAGCATATGAACTTGAACCTTGAACCTCATGATCATGAGGAGAGTGACCTTCTACCGCACTAAATGTAACAAATGATTTGCAAACAAAAACTTTAAACCTACTGCTGATACTACACTTGAAAATGCAATTCGTGAAGACAAAATCAATTAAATATGTGAATCCATTGTTGAATAATGAAATAGAGAAACTTAAGATATTATATTTTAAGATATTTATAATTAAAGATATTATGAGAGACAAACCTAAACATGATATGAGTAAAGAAAACGGGATTCAAAGAAAATATCAAATTATCAAAGATAAATATAAAATATCAAAGATGGAAAGAAAATATACTCAGAAAATATCGTTATGATGATAGAACTAGCATAGGAGTTGCAATATACATTGACATAAATTTTTTTATATTATCAAATCAATGATAAAGTTTTGTGTTCCAACAAAACTGAGCAAATACTGGTTGAAAGGTAATGACAGTTATTAAAAGTCTAGGTAGAAATCTTTGATAAAGTATATACAGGATTCTATAATAATAAATACAGCTGTGAGAATGAGGGTTTTTATTTATTAAATAGCCCAAGAGTGTTGTTGAATTACTTGAAAACAGTGTTCCCTATTAATAATATTTTAGATCTTAAAATTTTTTTAGATGAGAAAAGTTTTATAATTATGAAAACGTTTATACATGATTATAGATTAAGATTTTAATCCAATTAATACAGTAAAGATAAAGATTTTAATACAGTGTTATCCTACTAAATTTTTAAGATTAAAACTGCTATTAAAAAAGTGAAATAACTAGATAAGTTAAATTTTAATACTTTGTTTGTAAAATTGTGATGTTATAATGAATTTGGAACAATACAAGTCAAAGGTAAAAGGTATTAAATGAAACTGAAACACTGAAAATGAAACTGAAATTTTTTCCAAAAAATTGTCAACGAATAGGTAGTCATTAAATATCACAAAATAATGAACTTTTGCATAAACATTTAATAAGCATCTTTTTAATGTCCGTTGGTTAAATATTGGAACTACTTACAAATGGTGTTAATGCTTGTGAATTCTGTGAACTAAATTTGTTAAAGCTACTGGAAAATCTGTAAACTAAATTTGACAATTGGATTTTAAATACTGCAACTTTATGTCTAAGATACTTTCCACACTTCCTAATTTTTTAATTACAGCTTAAATATATTACTAATAATGTTAGTTACTTATTAAAGTAATTTGATTGGATGATATTGTTTAGTAAATTGATGGATTATTTATTTTTATTAAATAACTTATTGATTTGATTTGATTGAATAATTTTGTTTAATAAATTAATGGTTCAATTTGTGTAGGTTCAATATTCTTTTATATTTTAAATATAACATTGGTTATTAAACTTGTTAATAAGTTTAAATGGCTATAATAACACATTAGACAAATTCTCTCTTTAAAAAAACAAAGTTTTAGAACTATTAGCTATTCTACCAAAAGTGGAATTTACATACTATATACTTACTAGATCGTGGTCATGACATTAAACTGATACTATAGTAAGTAACTCTCTAGATATAGTGAAGGTAACTTAATCCTTTCGTTACCGGGCTCGGCAACCTTATATTACCGTGACAAAAAATGGTGTTTTAACCCAACTACCATCAAAACTTCATTATGGGTTTAAAAAATGTTCAATTTATTTAAAAATTGGCTCCTTTTTAAAGTAGCAATTTATCTTTCATAAAATAAAAATAAAACTAAAAAAAAAAAAATCATCAGGTCTTGTGATCAATAACGGCGGATTTTGAAAACCAAACAATATTTTAATTGTAAGTTTAGTCAAATAAAAATGTATCTTATTTTCATCAGATATTTTTCAAATTTAGAGTCAACAATCAGACATATATAATAAGTAATTCTGAAAAGTTTCAAGTCTTGAACATCATTTTATCATAAGTTATTATATTTATTAGGTTAGTGAGTCTTTAGGTCAAAAATTTTAATTATGATGCTTTCTTCAAAAAAGAACAAAAACAAACAAAAAAATCAAAAAGTAACAACAGTAAGACATGTCAAATAAAGAAATGTGGGTATACACTAATTTCTACACTAAATCTAGCACTGTGTGATAGATTTCAAAGCAGCTATCAATATGTAGCCCTGGCTCACCGGGGAGTGTTTTGCATACATGCACAGTTTTTAGTGGTTTGCCATTGTTATTAAAAATTCGTCGTGCATAGCAAACTCTGCATAATTTAGATGGACGTTTATCTGTTGCATCATGTGATGGCTGTTTGGTTCCTGGAAAATGACGCCCAGTAAGCCTGTGTATAGTACCATCAGGAACAAGTGATTTATTTAACTTTGGTGATGATAAAAATATTACTTTAATTATATTGTGAAGATAATCTAAGAAAGTGATACTCTTGTGGCAAGTGTACTTTACAAAAACTTTATGGCTATTTAAAATACCCTGAGAAATAAGCCTCAATGCTAGTTTACAATACCACTTGTAAGTTTTTCGTAACAGGTGCAAGCTATGGAGTTGTTGGTCAACACGATCTACACCACCCATGTGGCCATTGTATTCTTATAAACAAATTGGTTTTTGAATATTTATTCCACGAGTATTTTCAATAAGTCTCATGGATGGTTGGTGACATGTTGATAGCATGTAGACAACTTTTTGTTTGCCTGAAGCTTTATCTTTCGATGAACGGAATTTGCAAGCCAGCATTTGACTGTTTGCATCATTATTTTTATAAAAAACTGCATCCCCTTTTTCTAAAACCTCATTAAGAATATCTTTTGAATAATTATATCGATTTGTCCTAATTGTGCCACAAAGATGTGTCTTGTTATCAAGAAAATACTTTGCAAGTGTTGTACTAGTGTAATAATTGTCTGTATAAAGAGTGTGACCTTGACCCATAAAAGGTTCCATCAGCACAGATGGTATTCTTGCTGATGAAGGCATCTGATCATTTATATCATCATCAGCAAACATTCCTTTACCACAGTATACAAGGAAGTCTAGTGTTATTCCTTCTGAAGTTGCTAGTTCATATAACTTTATCCCAAAACGAGCACGTTTGGTTTTAATATATTGACGGAAATGTAAACGACCTTTATAAAGGACAAGCGATTCATCAACACTTAGATTTTTTCCTGGTTTATATACAGTTTTAAATCGATTACGCAGAATGTTTTAGACTGGTCGTACTTTGTGAAGGCGATCTCTGTTTTCATCAGTTACATCATAATTTTCATCTTCATTGTTATTAAAATGAAAAAACTTTAATAATATATTAAAACGATTTCGACTAATAACTTCTGAAAAAATTGGAGTACTATACAATGCATCTTTTGACCAATACATACTAAGTTTGGGTTTATAAATAACTCCCATTAAAAGATTGACAGCGATAAAGGTTTTAATTTCTGCAACATTAGTTTCCTCCCACAAAGAAGAGTTATCTGGATTAGCAGCAAAAAACTGCCTTGCATACCAATTGGTTTCTGTAACTAACAAAGTTATAAGTTCATCCGGAAAGTAGAGTTCAAAAAAATCAAGACAAGTTGGGTTTTTCCCCATTCTAACATTTAAACCCTCTTGAAAAAGTTCAGGGAAATCCATTAGATTACAAGGAACATCTTTACTAACTTTTTCCCAAGTTGACAGAGGAAGTTTCTGACTACTATTACGTACTTTATTACAACTAGGCACTCTACCACGATTAGGCACTCTACCACAATGATGCACTCTACAATATTTATATAGACTACCTTATAATATTTATTTAGACTACCTTATTTACAATACAATATTTAAATACAATATTTATTTAGACTACCTTGGTTATTGTTAATCGATGGTAAGATAGAATTAGAAAAAGGAACAGCAGCTTCCAATTTATCGACATTGTTTTTATTTGTAACTTGAACTTTTCTTTGAATATTAGTAGAAGTCATACTGTTTTCAACTTCAAATTCTAATAAATTATTATCCTCATCATTACTAAAGTCACTATCACCAAGATCAATACTTTGATTGCTATCTTTGTCACTTTCTTTAAGTACAAAGTTTAAAATTTCGTCAATATTTGAGATTTTTTTTTGACGTAAACACGATGAACTAGCCATTTTTCAAAATTGAATAACATCTAATCTAACAAAGCTTTTTTCATGCGGTTTTCGCTGTATAATTGGATTATTATTCTAGTTTCTATTGAGCTAAGTTTTAAAGTCGCTCAAAAAACCCTAGGTTGACAGAAAGCAAAACTCTTCATTCACCGCTATGCGGGGTACTGGTATTTTAATGACATATTTTATTACCCGCTATGCAGGGTATCGGTAACGAAAGGATTAACTAGGAGAAGGAAAAGAATGAAAAAACATAAAACCTCTAGTTTAATTGAAAGTAAGGGTAAAAGGAGTTTATAAACCTTGGATGGCTTCTTGTTATTTCTTAAACTTTAGGTGATAATCTTTCAAGTGATATATCACAAAAATACTCAGTCCTGAACAAACAGGAAATTCAACTTTTTGTAATTATCAATTGTAAATATTTTTAATATTTTTACAAAAAAAAATATTCATGTCTAATTAAGGTGAAATGCATGATGTCTTATTTTAGTAAAAAAATAGCAAAAAAAAAAGAGAAAATTGTGAAACCAAAGTGTACATAAAAAGTGTAGATGTTAAATAACAAGTATATCTAAATATAAAAAAGTCTGAACTCACCTACACTCAAGCTAAAGTATTTTGTAGTAGGTGGAAGAACTCGAATTTGTCGGCTTGATGAAGAGATGTTCATCAAGTCTAATTTCATCTAAATACAAATGTGAAACTATGTTCGATTACTAACACAAAACAAATGTGAAACAATTGATTCCTAACCTTAAAGGGATCCCTAACTGCTGAGACAAGTTGTGTTCATATTAAAGAAAATGTTAAAAAAAAACATTTGGGCTAAATTTTTTTCATTGAAACTAAATAATGAATGCATACCAACAAAATTAAAATTATTGTTTTAGTCGAAGCTCGCCTTCTCCATTTTTTTTTGGTTCTCGGGGTCTGTATAATGTAAGACGCAATCTGCAGACAATAATTTATTCCATGCGTGTTTAATTCATAACAGTTTCGGTATATGACGTCAACGCAATATCTTTTTAAGCATTTTTTTGTTGTTTTTTTTTATTCTTCTACAATCAGAAAATCAAATATTTGTATAATTTTTTACTAAATCACAAAAAATATTTGTGATTTATTAAAAAATTATACAAATATATATATATATATATATTTTTTTTTTCTATTTATAATTTTTTTTTACTTGCTTTATTATTACTTTGTTTTAGAAGCAAGCCAAAATCATGACACAATTATACATATTTTGTGATTATTAGAGTTCGCAGGATATGAAAAAATAAAGGCAGTATGATGCGGTTTCTCATTTTATATTTAGTTCATATGGTTTAATAGAGTTGTTTGTTTTATGTTTAACTTACATTTAGTTATGGTTTAACTCTTTCACTACCACAAGCCACTGGTAGCGGCTTTCGAGTATGCTTTACAATTTATTTATTTTTGTACATAGATTTCCATTCTAGACACATAGAATTTGTTTGTTCTAAAGGTTTAATAAATTCTCTGCATAATCAAGAACAAATAAGAGCTATATTGTGTAATTATAAAAAAGTTATCAAAAATTTAAAAAATCTTGAATAATCCTTCTTAAAAAAAAACTTTAAATTAAGTTATAAAATAAAACAGCGTTAACACTGTAAAATTTAACTTGTAGAAGTGTTAAGTATTTAGTTGAGTAATTACCAAATTATTTTGAAGAAAAAATTATTTTTATTCATTAATTGAGGTTTGTTTCGGACTTAATGTTTTAGTTAAAAACATTAGTTTTAGGCACTTTGCATTTCTTATTATCTAATGATGTGTGTTAAAAACTATTATTATCGAATTTTAAATAATTGTCGATGTTACGATATTCAAATGTTATTCAAAAAAATGTGCTGTTGCTACAAAAAGATTTTTGTTCGGCTGGTAGCCAACAATTTAATGTGATTCTTTGTTTTTATATTTATATTATAACTATTTTTTGTATATTTTAGTACAAATATTTATTTTAACTTTAATTTAGTTTGATTTGAACGGTTATTAGTAAAATAATTTGTTTAATACTTATTTTCTACTTAGTTCAGTTTATATGTTTTATTCAAGTCACTCGTTTTTTATTCAGTTTATACTTTAAATTAACTTATACGCTTTAGTAAAATTATTCTTTTAGTATCTAGTTTATATTTAGTTTAAACTAGTACGTTTACTGTAAATACTTGTTATATATTAAATTTTTATTTTTATAAATTTTATAAATTTTATTCTTAATTTCATCATAAACTTTTTATGGGGATTTAGTAAAAAGTTATACAATTAACATGATTTAATGATTGGCAAAAAAAAAAAAATAATACAACATTTTGAAAGAAAAAATTTATACGATGAAATCATATACAGAAACTGTTATGAATTAAACACGCATGGTATAAATTATCAAGTCTGCAGATTGCGGCTAACATTATACAGACTCCGAGAAGCAAAAAAAAATGGAGACGGCGAGCTTCAACTAAAACGTGAATTTTAAATTTAATTGTTTCATTATATTGTTTAAATCAAAAAAATCAAGCCCAAATGTTTTTTTCAAACATTTTCTTTAATATGAACATAACTTGTCTCGGCAGTTGGGGATCCCTTTAAAAAAGCTTACAAGTAATGGTTCAAACATTGAAAAAATATTTAGCATAAAAAAAACTTGACAGTTTAAAACTTGTTTAACAGACTCTATTTTGAAATAAATCAAAGTCTTACTTCATATATTTCACCTGCAAGACAATTTCGAAATACAAGTGGACAAGGTGTTGGTTTGAATAAATTATTGAAACTGCTAAAATAAAAAATAAAAGTAAAAAATGCGATCAAACATGTATTAGAATGTGCTAATGACGTCAATATCTTTATTATAAAGACATTATGTATTAGTAACACCATAATGTAAGAGTGACACTACCACAATGAGTGACACCTTTTTGAAATAACTCAATAAATTTTTCCTATATATATATATATATATATATATATATATATATATATATATATATATATATATATATATATATTGAAATCCATACTAATGATCAGAAAGTAAGTTATTTGATTCAAGATAAGAGATTGTGTTTGTTAATTAAAGAATCAAAAACTTTGCTTGTGATATGAAAAAGACTAATGGGCTGGTAGTTAGAAAAGTCAGATCGTTCTCCGGAAATTTTGAAAATAGGGTTGACAGATGTCGCTTTCCAGCAGGATGGAAAATAAGACTCTGATATGCCCTTGTTAAACAGTTTTTAAAGTATAGATGACAGCTCTGGAGAAAACTTCTACAAGACTAAAACAGGTATGTTGTCTGGACCACAAACTGTAGAAAAGTCTAAGCAGGAAATCACTTTAGATACAGAAGCTGGGTTGATACAAATATCAAGCAAAGGATCGACCTGTTTGTCAATTATATCAGGTAGAAAATTGGAGAAAAGTTTTTAGCAAATAATTCAGTTATGTTTTTAGGTGAGAAAATCTAAACCATGGAAGAGAGCAGGAATAACAGCCCATATCGTAGAGTGCAGGTAGAGTGTCGTATTATTGACACTCTACCTGCACTCTACGATATTATTAAAAATTCTAGAGGTCTCTGGAGAATTTTTGAGATGAAAAATTTTGTGACCTGAGAATAGTGGGCTTTGGAGTTAGACAAAACCTTTTTACAATGGTTTTTAGCAATAGTAAACAGACATCTATTTTCTAGAAAATTGCTTCAGCAATAAATATGGAAAAAACAGGAAGTAATAGATATGAAAAAAAATTGCAGCAGGAGAATGAGAGGAAAACCATGGAGAAGAGTGAGGCTTGACTTGAAATTGCCAAGAGGGAATAAAAAATTCCATGCCAGCCTGAATCAAAGAAGCTGCATAAGAAGCACATTTGTCAGCAAGAAAACAAAAGATTTTATTAAGGGCCACCACAAAGAAAATTATGGAAAGTCCCAGTCAGTTTTAAGGTAGTTGTAAGAGGTACGATGATAGGTGGATTCTGATGATGAAGAAGAATAAAAAAAGAATATAAAAAAAGTTTAAATTCTAATCAAACTGTAATGAAAGTAAACATACTAAAAAAATGTATATTCTAAAATAAAAACTTAACTTGATTGGGCAATTACTCAATTTAAATTTTTGTTTTAGAATACAAATTTTGAATACAATTACTCAATTGATTTATAATGTAAGTATTTATTTTTATGTATTTAACTAGTCACAACGGCTTTTATTAATCTAATTTATTAGACTTAAATTAATTTATTAGACTAACATTTTTTACATCAGTATCTATAAAAGAATTTTTTTGAAAGATATAAAAAATAAACCACATTTAATAATCTTATTTATAAAAATGATGTTGGTAAAAAAGATTTTAGTTCAAATCATGCTTTTGCTGTGTTTTACTGATTATTTTTTAAAGTAAAAAACTTTTTATTGAATTTGGTTATACTACAGTGTGGTTACATTATAGTGTGGTTATACTACAGTGTGACTACATTACATGATTGTATTACAGTGTGGTTAAAAAACAGTAGCACAAATAAAATTAAAACGGAAGATTTAAAACATCAAAAACTCACTCCACTTTCTCATCTGATAAACTGTTTGCTGTTGCAACCAACTTTATGTCAGTGAAGCGAGGGTTTTTTAAAAAATTGAATGTCTTTTGTAGCTTTAACAAATCTTTATCTAAATCAGATGACTCAGCATTCTTCTTATATTCATTGAATGAATGTAAACTATGTTCACCCTGCAAAAAGAATTCAGCCTATTTAAAGTAATGTAAAAACAATTAGAGATTTTTTGAAGAGCTCTAACGCAAAACCAGACAAAACCATATTTAAAAATTTTATCATATCTTGAAATTTTTAATTCCTTGATTTCTGATGGCAACTTTCTAATGTCAATAACATAGCAAACATTGACAAAGGTCATGGCTAATATAGCATAGAAAATTTCCTTAGAGAAACTTTATTAGAGTTTTTTTATCAAGGGGTAAAATTTGGATTAGTCTGTATTTGCACCAAAATAGGTAATTGTCTGGCATAATTGATAAGGATGCTAGTATTACAAAATGAACTGTTACAATGACTATCAATACACAATACTGTTTACTGTTGATATCCCCATGTCTTTAACTATTGATATCCCCATGCCTTTAACTATTGATATCCCCATGTCTTTAACTATTGATATCCCCATGTCTTTAACTATTGATATCCCCATGTCTTTAACTATTGATATCCCCATGTCTTGATTGAACATGTCTTTAACTTTATTTCACTGTAATGTACTTTTGACTATAAAAACTGCTTATTGCTGTTGCACTAAAGACTTTTGTCAAAAACACGCCATATCATATTTGGTACAACAGTTGCAGTCATTTTCAAGATTATTTGTATCAATAATAGATTTACTGTCTGTCATTGGAATGTAGAAAGTTAACTTTGGAACACTTTCCCAGCTTTCACCAAATGTCACTTGTCCGCAAGTTTTGCGGTAGACAAGGTCAGAAACCTGTCACTTATTTTAGCGTCATCTTTAATGAAATGCTTTTCCTTTTAATAGTGACTGATAATTGTTTGTACTTGTATTATCATCTTTTTCTCCACTTACAGTAATAACGCACTTCCTTTTGACTCATATGAATGAAGGAGTATTCTCTTTAGTTCTTGCAGTCCAAGCAGTTTGTATGTTACTGCTGCAGCTGCTTTAAAATCATGCAATACCATCACATGATTTTAAATAACACTTCATCAGCATGGATTTTGAATATTTTTTGATATCTACACTTTTCAAGTGTAGTGGTATTTGACTTTCTTGCTTTACCTTGTGATATTCTTCACAGTAAAAAATTAATGATCTCGTACTGGAAATATCAACAACACATCTTTTATCTGGCTTCCATCACCAACAGTTATTTTGTGAAGCCAATAGTGAATCATTCCCAAAAAGATGTTATTTTTATTCTGCCCTCCACAACCATAGCTGAATAATTCGACATTACTGAGATCTTACTAAGAAAGTGGTACACTACAATCTCATTTGAACCACGAGATCCTTCACTATATGAGAATAATGAGATCCTTCATTATCAATCCATGTATAACAGTAAATTTTTCCTGATGACATGTCACAGATTGTAGAATTGTATAAAGCTAGCTGCCTGGCATAGAAAACTTCCTGAACAGGCACCATAGACAAAACTTTTACCTACTACAGATTGTACACAATCTTGTATGTATCTTCATCAGAGTTCTTTAGTAAGTGATAAAATGCAGCACACTTCTGCAAGTGAAACTTCCTTGGCAGTTTAAAGTCAGATTGGACTTGGACTTTTGACTTGTGCAAAATCAAATTTTTTGCAAGTGGTAGATGCATCTAATTGCAGACCACTAAAACCAATGTTTAACTCAGAAACAAAAAATTTGTAAAACACCTGATATTTTTACAACTTTTTAATTTAGGTGATATATGCATACACTTTTGCTGCTACCGTAATGACTTACTTCTGCCTCTCAAACTGTTAATAAATGTTTTTACACTATCCTTTTTTACAACAGATTTATGAGATATTCCTTCACTACCTTGACTCTCTATTGACAGGCCACGACTACCATGTGAACGTTTAAGTACTCTCACCTTTGTTTCAATAATTTTGCACTTTTTAGAACCGCTACTACCTTCTCCAACAAACCCTAAATTGTCTACATCTTTGCATTATAACTTTATCAAATTTTGATATTTATAACAACTAATTAAATTTGATATTAATAACAGGTCTAAACTATTAATAACTAATTTGCAACAATTTAAAAATTAAAACAATGCAAAATGCAGCTAGTAACCATTATCGTTTGTTTTTAAATTTACAGTTTCAGAAGTTGTAAACATCACGCAGTTTGTGTTGATAAAGTTAATGAGTTGTTGGATTTGCACAAGATGCTAAGCAGGAATTATCTGCTTTTGCACAATATTAATAACTTATCTATGTAATTACAGTAAGAGTCTGCTTTTGTTCAAAAATTATTCATCAGCCAATTACATTGTTTACTATACACAACACACATAATCTCCTTATCGCTAAACATTAAATTTGTCTGGTTTTGCATGGGAGCTCTTCATTTTTGAATATATTTTACAAAAATAACTTCTAATGGATAATATGGCAGTTAAATGAAAACATGGTTTAACACGCTTTAATAGATAACATAATTAAACAAAGATAAAAATATTAAAAATCAACTGAATTCATTAAAATTTATTTAATCTATTGTAAATGACTCGAGTCTTTGATAATGAATTGACTCATGTTGAGTAAATTGTTGATAAATTTTTCGAAAAGTATCAATAATAAGTAGCAAAAAAAGTATACAAAAATGCTGAGAAATTTACAATGGATTTAGTCATTCACAATGGATTAAGTCGTTTAAAATGGATTGAGTTTCCGTTTAGATTAAGTAATTTACAATAAATTGAGTTATCCATTGCAAGGGATTCAATCTATTGCAAAAGACTCAATCCATTGTAAGTGATTTAATCTATTGAGAATGACTAAATCCATTGTAAATTTCTCAGCATTTTTGTATACTTTTTTGGCTACTTATTATTGATAATTTTCAAAAAATTTATCAACAATTTACACAACACATTTATAAATGACTTGCAAAAACTAGTGATAATATACATATTTAACATATTAAATTATAAAAAAAAATCATTGATAAATTTGATATGAAAAAGATATTAAAAATATATAAGTAGCCTTTTCAGTCCTTCTTTCCTCATCTTTCCTGTCAACATCTTTAGATAAGATGGCCTTATTTAAACCATCTTTGCTAACATCTACAAAACAAAACAAAATTTTGTTGTGTTCTATTATTTTATCATGTTTTATTCATTCAGTAAGCTATTATTTATAATGCACATAAAAAAGACTTCAAACTATAATAAAATGTGCTACTATATAGACAAAAATATAAGGGACATGTAAATGCTTAATACATATACAAATTATGTAAGCATTTTATACACATTTGTGTTACATACACATAAGAGTTACATAAACATAAATTTTACATACACACAAATGTTATGTAAATAAATATTATTAATAAATGTTGAAAAAAGTGTTGTTACATACAAAATGTAAATAAAAAAGAAATAATACATGCAAATAAGTTTTAAGAAGTGTTCACTTATTTATATATACTAAAAAAGAAACACTCTTTTCAAAAATTCTTTAACTTTGTCACTTTTTTCCTAACGAAGTTTGTAGTTCAACTAATTTTTAAATCACACTAGATAATACATACATATCACACTACACACTACATATCGTACTATATTACATCACACAACTATCAGATCCTTAATAAATGGGAGGGGGAGGGGGAGACCTTTATTAACTTTTGGGAAATTTTTCCACCCACCCAAGCTTGAGATTACTCACCCCCCCCCCTCTTCCTCCTAATTTTTACTAGTTATTAACAAATTAACTTTTTTCTCAAAACTTGAAACAAAATATCAGTAAAAATTGGCCTTTACTTTGAAAAATTAGAAAATAATAATTTCAATCACTGATAAAAACGAAAGCTTTCAGTGAAAACAGACATTAAAAATCATCGACCAAGTTAATATCGATTTGTCAAAAATGAGCTTTCGGTTTATTTCACATCAAAGTATAAAACTTATATCACTATATCAAATCTTATTAAAATTATGATAAAATAGCTGTTAGAAAATGTGCATTTGACTGCAAGCCATGTTAGAATCAAATAGCTTTATGCTGGTTTTATAAAAAGCTTTTTTTGAAGAAAAATTAAATTTATAAACTGAACTTTTTTTATAATAAAACTTGTATGGTAACATAAAAAAATTCCCTAATTTCCCTTTTACTAAAATCCCCTTGTTTATTAGATCTTGAATAAATTCCCCACCCCCACCCATCCACCCCACCACCTGACCTATTATTCCGACATTTCCATGTATTAAGGACTTGAGAATACATATCACAAATTTATTTTACAAAAATGTTTTTTAGATAAAGGCCATTAAAATAAAATAGTTTTTAAAATTACTTTTTGTTTTAGGTTTATTACGATAATTTTTTTTTATTAGTTAGTTTATAAATTTTTTTGTTAATGTTTTGCAATTTTCTCTGAATTTCAGTTTAGGGGAAAATACAGATTTTGGCAGATGACACTCTTCAACAAGTCAGGTAATATTCATGAAGTTTTTCCTGTATAATTTCTAAAGTAGATTGTATTTAGTGGGTCAGAGTTTGGATTTTTATTTATTTGAATAAATCTAGCAAAAAAAAAATTTTTTTTTCAATTTTTCCCTCTGACTTTTGAAACAAAATGTTATTATCTTTTCTTCATTGCATGTATTTGCAAACTTTAAAAGCTTCACAAATATGCTAATTTATATGAAAAAACAGTGTATAGACAAGTTGAGTTCATATTTTAAATGAAGCTTAGAAACAACAGTGTTGAGACAAGTTAAGTTCAAATCTTAAATTATGCTTAGAAACAACAGTGTTAAGACAAGTTTAGTTCGTATCTTAAATTATGCTTAGAAACAACAGTGTTGAGACAAGTTTAGTTCGTATCTTAAATTATGCTTAAAAACAACAGTGTTGAGACAAATTGAGTTTGTATCTTAAATGAAGAAAATAAATTTAGAGTTAATTAACTAAAATAAATTATTTATCAATATATTAAAAAACCTTTTTAGCTGTTTTTGTAACTTCGCTATCTTATTTCTGTTTTTAAGCATAATAATAGATTTACAATTCTGCTCAGTTTTGCTAATAAAAAAATTTGATTTGATTTATTGAGTGGCGTGTATAGAGGTGGTGTGTAGTGGGTGTGTATATAGGTGGCGTGTTTACCATAGAGGGATTTTAATGATTTAACTTCAACACAAGCTTAAGTTTTCTGAGTTTTCTCTTTTTTGTCTGCGGTGATTATAATCAAACATTTTCTCTGGATTTCAGCTTATAAAGGGTTTCATCATGTCACCTTTGACAAAATGAAATAGGTAAAAATATAATTGTAATTGAAATTTTTAATTAAAAAATATTTATAGATTTTACACTTAATAGATTTATAGACAGCTTTTTATTAATTAAGCAATAGTTGATGTTTTATAGCAATAATTCAAGACAGATGGCGATTAAAATTTTCAATGTGTTGCAGCGCTTATAAATATGAAATATAATATGTTAAAAAACATTATATTTAATATTTCTTAATTGATGACATTTTTGGGAAGTATTTTACATTAAAACCTGTTTCTTAAAATTATAAATCAAAAAACTACCAAAACTGACAATAAAAAGTTTTTCATTAAATGATTTCAATTTTAAAATTTACTCTGAAAAAAAATGCTGCACTTTTTTGCAATCTTGACCAATAATTGTTCAATTTTATAAATAAGTAATACATATTTTACAGAATAAAGTTCATTAAATATATTCTCGCATGATTAAATAAGAATTTCGAGAATACTTGTACCCAATGAAAAGTTTAGCAAATAAATGCTGTTAAATAAACTTTCCAAAGGTTAACTCTCTCGCTACCAGTCGCTTTAACTAAAATCTTTACGCTGCGACCGCACTTTTTATTTTAATAAAATTTGGATGACATAACATTGACAACTAATTAAAGTTCGAATAGTAATTCTCTTTAAAAGCATAACAAACTAATGAAAACAATTTCCTAAACAAATGAACTTTTTAATTAAATAAGTTTCTAACACGCATCATTGAACAATACGAAATGCAAAGTGCTCAAAACCATTGTTTATAAATAGTAATTAAAACATTAAGTCCAAAACAAAACTCATTTAATGTATAAAAAGAATGTTTTACAATACGAAAAAAAGATTCACCTAATTACTAGCTAAAAGTATTTAACTACTTGGCTAAATACACTTTTACAAGTTCCTTTGCAAATGGTGGTCGCGTTTTTTTAACGGTAAAAGAGAAAAAGAAAAGATAAATATAAAATATTAAGATTAAAGATGAAACTAAATTATAATAACAAGTAAATAACTATTTATTTTATATGCATAAATAATTTGTTAACAATCTTAAAATCATCTTTAACAAAAGTACATAAAAAGTCATACATAAAGAAAGGAAAGAAAAAAAAAGAAAAAAAGAACTACAAACTAAAAAAAAAAGGAACACTTATTAAACTTGAACATAGAAAAAAAAAAAAGGAAACAAAAGAACGAAAGTGAAGTAAACAAATAAAATATAAATTAAAAAGTAAAGAAAAGAAAAAAGGGAAGAATTAAATAAACTAAAAAAAAAAAGAAAGAAGAAATAACAATAGAAGTGCTAGAAGATTGAAGTGAAATTTTAGAAGAATTTAGTTTGTTTATTTTAAAATGCGCTTTTAATTTAATGTAATAATTCTTTTCTTTTTTTTTTTTTTCTAGCTTTATTTTTTTTATTTTTCATTAATTTTTTTTTTTATTGTTGATTATTATACATACTTGTTATTATTGCTATTATTATTATTATTATTGTTATCTCTTTATAATAATACTGGACTTAATAGTTGTAGTGCGCTTTCGAGCCTGTTTGACACGATACTCTTGGCAACCATTGCATCCGAGGTAGTGACGAGAAAGAGTCTCACTTTTGCTTTATAAGAAAACGTGAGCAAACGTGAAACTCATATTGTGCGTACCTAAACTTCATGTTATGTAATGTTAAAACATGCTTAAGCGTATATCAAGTTCAACAGTTTGATTTTCACCTAAGAACTGCATTTCGTCAACTTTTGCTTAATTTCTAATCTTTTGTATCTATATCCGTTAAAAACAATTTTTATATAATTTGAAATCTTCAAGACTCAACGTTTCAGCATAGTTGAGTGGGCTTCAAACCAAGTTAGCCTTGGTTCAAGTCCTAGCATCAGCGACTTTTTTTTTAATTTTTTTTTGCGCATGTGTCATTATTGAGATACTTATGTTATTTTAGTTAAACTTTTCAAGTTTATTTACAACTAAATTGAGCAAGGAAAATTAATAAAAAACATGTTTATATATAGAATATAACTTTTGATTTGCATTTTAAACAACAAAACCGCGTGGCAAGCTAATGAACTTGCTACACGGCAACCTTAACTTTTTTCAAAAACGGTAAGGGGGTTTAAAAAGAATATTTTTTATTAAGAACATAATTAAAAATTGTAATTTTATATTTAAACTAAATTATTTTATAAAATTTATTTTTCTAAAAATAATTAAAAGTTAAACTATTTAATATTAGCATAATAAGGAACATAAAAGATTTACAGCTATTTATCAACGCTCCTGTTAAACATTCTTAACCAAGAGCGCATCAATTACAGTGATGATTTAAATAACATGAGATGCACGAGGCACTGTAGATGTGCATGCGATAAGTATTTAAATTACTTTTTAAACATTCATGAATCTCTTAATATCTTTGAATATCTCTTTAATCATTATCGTAAAACTATATTTATTGAATATACTTTTTTTTATGAATTCTATTTATAATTTTATTTTGTAATTTTCAATCTGTTTTTATAGCTACTAAAGTTTGACTTTTTAATATTTTAGTTAATGAAACATGTTCTATTTTGTGGATGATGTGTAGAAATTGTTTCTCAACAAGCTGTTAATTTTATAGAAGTTGGTTTTAAAGTGGAGGGAGGTACAATATTCAAATTCTAAATAAAGTCTTCTATATCTAGAATAGGCAATAAGATTTAAGATCCCTCTATTAAAGGGAAGGAATTACCCTTACCAAAAGTGCAGTTTAAGAAGGTATAGTGGGCAGTGGTAAATACATAACTACATCTACAAATAAAAGAGGTATGTGAATGCATTTAGTTTTATATGTATATTTTTATTGATCTATTTTTTAAGTTTTGTTTGTAAATAATTATACTTTTTCAAAAACATAATTTTTTTTTCTTTTAATATTAATTTAGTTAAAAATTAAGTTACATTTACAAAAAAATGTGTTAAAAGTTGTACATTTTGTTTTTACACTAAACTCCATAAAAATTTTAGTCAACAAAAATTTTAGAATGATTCAAGAGCTGAGTCAAAATAATTTCTTTTGAATCAAATTTTTTGAATAATAAATTTTCATAATCACTGGTTATTGCAGGTATTCAATTATTTTAAGTTTACTATGTTGATCATTAGCTAATAGTTTAAATAAAGATTAGTTTTTTTTTTTTGCAAACAAGGTAAGAATGGTTTTAATTTCTGGTTGAATAACATTTTTTTGTTTTTTTAGTTAGAAGAATTTTTTTCTGTTACACCTAAAGTATTTTTTTTTACAGGTTTTGATTGTTTAATCAGCAACAGGTTAATTGGATTGCAGTGCTATTTTGCCTTCTTTACTTTTTGTCATTATTTAATTTTGTGTCAATTCAGACATCTTACAGTTTTTTTTTAAGCATTTTGCAGAACAAATAAAGGGCCCACATCTCACAAGGTGTGGGTTCAAGTTTAGGGCTTAAGCATCCCCCACCTCTTTATTTATATGTACGTATGTTGAGGAGGAGAGTGAGTAGTAAATAAAAAAAACCCTGCGTCTATAATTAGTATTTATGTTATAGTATTCTACCAATTAAACCAAATGTTAATCTACCAATCCATTATTGATAATGCAAATTTAGTCAAATTTTATTTGTAAACATACTTTTTTATATATATATTTATTGTTGTTACATATTAATAAATTGATTTCCAGTTAATACATTAATACAATACAGATTATATTTTATTCCTTTAAAACATGCCAAAAGTGGTTAAAGGGCTTTGTGTGGGTTCAAATCCTTTTGTTTACACTTTCGTTGTGTTGTTTTGTGTTGATAGATTAGATGATTTGGTTTACTTTCACGTTGGGGTCTTTACTTTGAAATGAGTATTGGGTAGGATATGTATTGGATTATTGGGTTAAATTTTTTTATTTTGATCATTTATTTTTAGCCTTGCTTTTTTAGAAAGAGTTGTTAATCCAAACTTGCAACAGTAAATCTTGAAACTTTCACAAAAGAAAAACAACCTCACTAAGTAAGTTTCTTATTAGTTATCTGTTTAGTCACATTTTTGAGTTTTCAAATAAATAAAGTACAGAGCAAATTGATGTGTATTAAGTGTATTCAATAATAATTATGTTCCATTATTAGGTCAAATTCCTTCTCCTACGACTGATTTTGAATGTTCCTACACAGTAGAATTTAAGAAATGTTCTGAATGTTGATTGTTTTCAATAAATTAAAATGAAGCTTGATAATCTCCATACCATATACTAAAAGATATGTAATAATAAAAGAATTTTTCAAATTAAAATGTATTTATTGTAATTAAAAGTATTTTTGTATACAAATTTTTTTTTGTAGTTTTTTTAAAATTTATTTTTCTCATTTTATCTCAAGAAAACTTTTTTGTTTCTCAAATAAGTTTCTATATTTTTTATCTTAATAATTTTGGAGTTTTGAATAGATATACTGGCTATTTTTGCTTAATTTTTTTATATTTCCGTAAATTTTTTATATGTAAATGGAAACCATTTATACTTTTATCACACTGTGTACTATCAGGACGGTTTTCATTTGCATTAAGTCTCGATTGCACAAACAATAGGTTTAAAAATTTATTTGCCTAATTCCGCAGTGAAAACAGCTTAATTGTATGAATTTTTAAGTGTTTTTTTTTTTACAGAAAGACGTTTATAAAGAATATCAAGCTAACTTAATTGAATTATTTAGGCCTCTTTTGGCTTGGTCCATTTTTCAATATCCAAATTTGCTTTTTAAACAAATCCTTATAAGAGAGTTAAAAAAATATCAAAGCATAAGTTTCCAAAAACACCTGAAGAATTGACAACTGTCTTATATGCTAAAGATACTTTTATTATTTTATTATGTAGAAAATATTAATGTAATAATTAAAAATACTAAATAATTCTTAAGTATGATAAATTAAAAATTAACCGAAAGTCAAGAACTTCATGTAGCCGGTAAAATGCTAACTGCGTACTTTTTAGCGAGCCAAGACACTTTAATGAGCACAACAGTCATAATATTTAAAACATTTGTTCATCAACCCATATCGTACAGGTCATGACAGCTAGTTATTATTATTATTTTTATTATTATATATCTATATAGTTTTTTAAATTAGTTACTTTAGTTTTAGCTTTACTTATTAACTTATAATACTAAGTAATAATTCAAAAGAAAAAAAATAATATAACTTATAAATCAAAAGAAAAAAAGTTCTACAATGATCTCATTTACTGAAACTCTTTGGAATTAAATAAATTATAAAGTCTGTAGATAGCAGCGTATATTTTAAAGACTTTGAGAGATTGGCTAACATGGAGACGGCAAGCTTCGAATAAAACAAAAAAGTTTTTTTTTCTTGTTATACATTTATTTAGTACTTAAAAAAATTCTGTCCAAACATTTTTTTTATCATTCTTTTTAAAATGAACACAACTTGTCTCTGCACTTTGGGATCCCTTCTAGAAACCAATCGGTTAGTCTAATCTAATTAAAAACATTTATATTGCTATTTTAATTTTTTTTTTTTTTTGAAATAACTGTAACTTTAAAAAACCATTGCAGTTTATTATACAATTATTGGTTTATTTTTAAAAGGACTTTTTTATCTTTTTTTAATTTTAAAAATTAAAGATAATGCTTAAGTAAATTTAAAATTAATAAAATAGTTCTAGCCTGGACTATCAACCCCTGTTAAACCTATATAAACCTGTTCTAGCCTGGACTATCAACCCCTGTTAAACCTACCTACGAATTGAAACCTATAAAAATGTTTCGATTCGTAGGTAGTATCTAAGAATGAATTTTACCTGCTGATTGGTTAGTTGTACCAACAAGTGAATCATTTAGTACAATCAAATGATGTTCTTGCAAAGCAATTGTGTTCAAAGAAGCATTCAACTTTGATGCAACTAGTAAAAAAAATATCAAAATTTATGGAAAACGTTTATGTTTTTACTGCAACAACAAAAAATTTATTTGCTGTTTAAAACATTATGAAGACATCTTAAACTTAATAAACTAATTAAAAGAAAATAATATACAACAGATTATGCTGTCAAACTTTTCACATATGCAACAACTTTTGTTGTCAAACTTTTCACATATGCAACAACTTATGTTGTCAAACTTTTCACATATGCAACAACTTATGTTGTCAAACTTTTCACATATGCAACAACTTATGTTGTCAAACTTTTCACATATGCAACAACTTTTGTTGTCAAACTTTTCACATATGCAACAACTTTTGTTGTCAAACTTTTCACATATGCATGTGGTGGTATGATTCTCAACTGATGTTTTTTAAGATATATGACTTGCTGATGTAGCTGGAGGATAAGGTTTCCCTGTTTTCTTGTAACTAATGCACCATCAAAGACATATTTATTCAAATTTAAGTTAAATTCATTTAACTTTTCAATAACAATATAAATTTTTCTTTTTTTCTTCAGAAGACATTAAACCAATTACTAATCATTTCAAGACCAGTGACAAGGTACATTAAGACACATATACCTTCTAGCTCCACCTAAAGTCCACTTATCAAGAGAAAATGAAAACCTTTCTTCATTAAATTTTTTGTAATGAAGTTCTTAAGCAATTTTTTACTTGACTAAATATTTTAGTTGCAACAGTTGACAGAAGACTTAAAAAATTGTAGGTTATAAGACAAAAAATATGAAGATAGAGTGTTTCAAAGTATTAATGTGCATAAAAAAACTAGACATATAGTATGATGGGAGAGTGGCTCAAACTTGACAGAGAAAGCAGGTCAAACTAAACTTACAATGAGGTTTTGAAACTAAAGGTAAAAAAAAGGTGAACATTTTTAAATAAAATTGTGAATACTCTTCGTGATCTTTTTCCATTATAAAATTGGCATTCAAAATTTTTTTAATGAATATTGTTAATGTTTTTTGTTCATGTTTGTTTGAAAACATTTTTTTAATTCTTTTTTATTTTAATTTACCTCCCCAAGGCTATGAAGGCCACTACAGTCGAGGAGGCCAATATCGTTAGTTGTGGTTACAACTATAAACATATAACTCCAAAACATGAACCTTGACAAACAAGGCCAAAGGGTACTTCTAGAAACATGGTAGAGATCAAACTCGGAACTTCTCACTTATGAGGTAAGTACTTTACCACTACACCACTACACCACCACACTACCACACCACTACCACATTAAGAGTTATAAAGAGTCTTTAACATAAATTCTCAATTATTACTGCATTTTTAGGTTTTAGAAATTTTTTTTTATTATAAGTTTTGCTTTTTATATACTTTTTGTTTTAAGAAATAAAAAATTACTTTGTTTTACTTATGCTTTTTTATATTTTAAAATATGGTTAATTATGAGCTACAAAATAATAACTTTGGTTTATAAAAAAGAATTATTCAAAATTTTATTATTTTTAAATTTTTTAAATTTCTTTTTCAACTAAATGTGTTTTCAAAATCCAAATTCGACTTTTAGTTAAACTCGGTTTAAAAGTCCTAATTCATCTCTCAGTTATTTTTGAGGTACACATATGGCCTAAATTAATCTTCCAATTAAATTCAGTGTGCACATATGGTCTAAATTCATTTTCCAGTTAAATTCAGGTCATGAAAAATCAACTTTGCCGGTCCTTAAGTTGGAGTACAAGCCACTGTAAGCCACAATCTTTTACAGAAGAAACATTAAATTCAGCCTGTCTTAAGCTATTAAAAAGAGAAGATATTTTGTATAAAGTTGAGTAATCTGCAAATAGAGGTAGGTAACAATCATAGAGAAGAATGCTTGAGGCTTAATTTGAAACAGACAAAAAGTAATAAAAGCTTCCTTATCTACTTTGATCCAAGTTGTTATGTAAGAAGTGGATTTATCAGCAAAGTAAAAAAAAAAAGATATCAAGCCAAAGAGTGTCACAAAAAAAAATCATGAAAAGAATCGTAGTAAGTTGTGCAAAAAAAGGACAAGTCCAAAGAAGAAGTATAAGATAAAAGATTTTAAAAAATTATTGCTCGGACGAAACATCCTGAAGAAAAAAAAGGAAAAAATAAACACAGGCAAGGGTAACAGATAAGACACAAATCAAGGTGTGTAAGTATGTAATTACAGTCTAGAAAATAGTTCATAAAGTTAACTGAGTAAGGGATTGAGAAATGCAAAAGTTATAGCTTTTTGTGCTAGCAGGGTCAGTGGTATTAGAGCTAAGCATACAGTGTGATGAGCATTAAAGTCAACAATAACAACAATATTGGCTAAGGGGTAAAGAAATTACATCTAAAAGAGTGCAGTCTTAAGAAGAAGGAAAATAATAAAGAACAAAGAGAAAGGTAAACTGATACGTAAGTATAAGTGAATCAAGGATTGTAAGCCAGTCGTCTGTCCAGTCGTTTTAGGCCTGTTAATTAACATACCTCAATGCACACCATCAGCATTAAAATGGAAATCATTGTGCAACATGGCACTGGTAATACTCTGATATTTTACAGGTGTTAATGTAATCAGCTTATCTAAGAGCAACCACAGACTTCAGGAAATCTTTCTACCAACCGGCCACTGAATCATTAAACTGAGTTTTAGAGCTGCACCCTCATTAGGAGATAAAAGAAAGAGTTGCATAGCCACTATCAAGGAGACACAACCAACCCATCCTATTCAAGAAACTGGCGTAGATGTAACACAGGTTTACATCTACGCCAGCCTAATAGATGTGGAAGGGGTTCAAGGCTGGTCAACAGAATTATACTACTAACCCCAAAAGTCTTTGCCTAGGAGGCCTTCTACAAGACAGTGGCTGAATACAGTTAACATCTGCCCAAGATAATTATTTTTATCAAGACATCATTTCTAGCATTTACTCAACCAAGAGCCCCATGGCATGGGATTTTTAAGTTGGAATTTATTTTATCTTAGCCTTTGCCTTAACAAAGCAAATCCTACATGGCATCAGGGCATGAGGAAATTAGTACTGGAAACAACACTAAAGATAGAACACAAATATACATATATTAACTTACAGGTGAACAAACGTCAGAGGTTCAGACAAAACACAAACATACATAAAGTAACATACAGGTGAGTGAACATCGCACCAGAGGTTCAGACAGAACACAAACATATAATAGTAGTTTTCAAAATGCTTAGATTTTTTAATTTCTGTGATGCTTAATAGGTTTAATTTAATTAAGTTTAAATAAGTATTAAATAAATAAATACCATAAGGTAGAATAAACTACCTGGAGGTAAACCAAGTTTTGAATATGTTTTGTATTTGTTTTGTTGCTCTTCAAACTCCTTTCTCTCTAATGAACGAGCATCAAAAAGAGTTTCCTTGATGTGATTCAAAAGTTCATTCATTTTCTTTATTTTAGAAGTACAATTCAATTGAATCTAAACTCAAATAGTTATTTAATTATATTATTTTTAATTATATATATATATATATATATATATATATATATATATATATATATATATATATATATATATATATATATATATATATATATATATATATATATATATATATATATATATATATATATATATATATATATATATATATATATATATATATATATATATATATATATATATATATATATATATATATATATATATAAGAAAAAAAAGTTAGTCAACAAAATAAACAATAAACAAAACATTTTCTTTATTTAATTTTACAAAAATTACACTAATTAAAAATTTTAATTAGTGTAATTTTAGCACTAGAGGCTTTTCAAAAAATCATCAGTTGTGCTGTTTTTGTTATCAAAACAACAAAATATTATTTATTTAAAAAAAAAAAAAAAAAAAAAACAGAAAATGATAATAAAATTTAATGTTGCTGTTAGCAATTATTGTAATCTATATTGTAATGTCAATTAAAAGTATCATGTTTTTGATTGTGAAAATGCTACTCATAAGAAATTAGGTTTTTTTCATTTTTTAACTCCACAAACACAAAATGCTGGAAAAAAGGTTCTATAATGGTGTTATGCGCACGTTGACAATGGTATACATGGTTATCAAACCTATCTGTTGATACAACTAAAATGAAAAACCTATCTGTTCTACAACTAAATTGTTACAAGAAAGCTACATACACCAGAAAAAGTTGTATGTATCTTTCTTGTTACATGACAAACATTTTAAATAGTATATTATATTCTTACTATTACAAGTAATATGGCTTTTTATGTTTCATATAGTACCATTTGGTGTCGTAAATGATTTAACTTCTTGAAAGCAGAATTATTTTATTTATTATATTTTACAACGATTATCATTACATTTAAATAATCCTGCTTCTTTACTGGTTGATTGTATTTTTGAAGAAGTAAGTGTTCTCAGTAGATTGGGTGGTTGTTTAAACCCAATTACTGGTTGGATATTAGAAAAAACTTCTTTCATTCTTTCATTTGAAGATAGATTAATCAAAAGATTTGTTTCAGTAATAAAAGGTTGGCAGTTCAGGTTGCTGTAAAAAGTTGTTTCAGATTGCTGTAAAAAGCTGTAAGCCAGTTCTTACATATAATTTTGTCTCCAATTGTAACAAAACAAAAAACTTTCATTCAAGATGATTGGGATTTCTTAAGAAAGATACCAAGAGCGTTAAAATCGGATAGTTGTATTTTGATTTGTTTCATTGTTAATCTATATACTAGTATTCTACACAAGTAGTATTCTACACAGCCTAGGTATAGAAGCATTAAAGTACTGGATTGAAAAATATAAAAGTTTAATAGTTAAAAGACTTACTCCTGAATTCATCATTAAATCAACATACTTGATTTTAAAAAACAACAACTTTCTATTCAACGACCAAATGTTTCGGCAAATTATTGGAACAGCCATGGGTACGAATTTCGCTCCAGATTATACATGCCTAACAATTGGATATTTAGTAGAAACAAGACTTTTTCCTAAGATTTTACCTAAATACTTTTCCATCAAAGATGTAAATGACATACAGGAATTTTATTATAGATAGATTGATGATGGTTTCTTAATCTGGCAAAAACATTTAGATATCGTTAAGTTTGAAAATTCTTTGATCGAAATAGATAATTCAATCAATTTTACAACAGACATGGGCAAAGAATTTATAATAGATGGTAATACTTAAAATATTATTAATTTCTTGGACTATCATTCTTGAAAACAACAGAAAAATAAAAACGGATATTTATTATAAAGAAACCAATACTCATGACTACTTAAACTACAACAGCCATCATCCTTATCATATAAAAAAGAACATCCCTTATGGCCTTGCTAAAAGAATAATTGTTTTCACATCTCTCCCCGTATAGGGATTTTACAAAAAAAAGAAAACTATGAATATTTAAGAATCACACAAGAAAAGTTGATGAATTTTAAGTTTAGTGGTATATGGTGTACTTGGAATGTACTTAGAATTTATAGATTTCAAATTCTGAGCAAATAAAAAAGTAATTGTTCAGCAAAATCATTTTTGACCGATATAAAAGAGACGGGTAAGAGAAAAGATTTGAGTTCTAGAAAAAAAGGACAAAAGGTCTTAAACAAAAGAAGGATTTAATAGAAACAATTAGTGCAATGAAAAGGAAACTGAAAGCAAGCATAAAAGAATAACTACCCCCAGACTTGAGAGAAAGATCAAAGTAGTAGGCCTGAGGGAAAAAATAAATACTTGCAAGAAGATATCTATGGATTTGGCCAAGACTCATGGACAAAATGAGGCATGTCGTGCTGTTGAAGCTGGATTGTTTTCTCAAAGCCCTGCAAAGAAACCGCTGATTTAACTAAAGAACCAGAAGAAAAGACTCCTGTTTGTTACTCATATTGACTGGAATGTGCAGAAATGGAGAACTGTCCTGTTCAGTGATGAATCAAAGTTCAACATCATTGAGAGCGATGGTATTTGCCGTGTATGTCGACCGGCCGCAAAACGCCTCGATTTACATTACTGCCACAAGACCATGAAGCATGGTGGAGGCAATGTAATGGTCTGGGGGTGTTTTTCTGCTAACGGTCTAGGTCCAATACATCGAAATGATAAAATAATGGACCTGAAAGATGTTATGTTACCTCATGCTGAATGGAATATGCCATTAAAATGGGATTTTCAACAAGACAACGATCCAAAACACACTGCAAAGGTAGTCAAGCAGTGGTTTCAAGACAACCACCTATCGGTGATAGATTGGCCACCTCAATCTCCAGATCTCAACCCTATCAAGAACCTGTGGGAGATCGTCAACCGCAGAATTAATAGTGAAGGTGTTCATAATAAGGATCAACTGTTTGAACAAACCCAAAAGGCCTGGGCAGCGATTCCACAAAGTTTCAGTGATCACACGATCGAATCTATGCCTCGAAGATGCAAGGCTGTGATCAATAACAAAGGATTTGCCACAAAATATTGATAGCAACAGCTCGGTCAACATTTTGTGGAGTTGCACTTGTTTTGTCTAAAAGGAAATCAATTTTTTTAACACTTTTGATTAATTCATTAATTTTCGTGTACAAATAATGAACTTTGTGATGAATAAAACTTGAAGAATGTTGTCTCTAAATAGTTACAAAGTTATTTCTCTAAATTGAAAAAATGCAGCACTTTTATATAAAGAAACTAAATTAGCATTACTTGGTTGCACTTGTTTTGTCCGATATTGTATATATGTATATATATGTATATATATATATATATACATATATATATATATATATATATATATATATATATATATATATATATATATATATATATATATATATATATATATATATATATATATATATATATATATTTATACATATATATATATATATATATATATATATATATATCTATATATATATCTATATATATATATATATATATATATATATATATATATATATATATATATATATATATATATATATATATATATATATATATATATATATATATATAAATATATATATATATATATATATATATATATATATATATATATATATATATATATATATATATATATATATATATATATATATATGTATATATCAAGGGCTATTCTAGACCAGTTTTTGACAGCGTCAACGGTTATTTTTGGGCACTCCCCAAATTAAAATTTGAGGTATTTTTTTTTAATGTATTTATGCAAATATTGTATTTTGCGCAAAAAAAACGCTGATTTTTGCGCGAAAAAACACTGTTATATATATATATATATATATATATATATATATATATATATATATATATATATATATATATATATATATATATATATATATGCCAAAAAAAATACTTTGGCAGGTCATGTGAAGAACTACTATTTATATATATATATATATATATATATATATATATATATATATATATATATATATATATATATATATATATATATATATATATATATATATATATATATATATATATATTGCGTATCTTTTTAATCTATTCTTTTGTTATTTCTATATTTTTTTTTTTTTCTTTTGCATAGCATGATAAACTTTTTTATTGATTTTGTTATACTTTTGTAATTACATTATTATTAGTTTGTACAATAATAATTTTATTTTGTATTGTTTTTTTTAAACACCTTTATGGGTATTTTAACAAATTTTTAATATTTAATTTGAACTGTTAAATTTAAAGTGTTAGTCGAAACATGTATTGTTTTTTATTAATAAAATGGTTTTACAAATTAAAGCTATTTTTAATTTGTAAAACCATTTATGAAAACTATGCTTAGTTTATGAAAATATATGCTAACCTCTAATTTGATGTGGTTGTGGTGTGTGTGGTCAAGAAAATTATAAAAATTATAAGCTTGAATAATGTGCTTTAGTGACTGATCAAGAGATTCAAAGTAACAAAAATGGTGAGAAAACAGTAAACATATCCCATAAGACTGATTGAATATAAATGTTACAACATGTTTAAGTGTTCAATACAATAAATTATTAAAGTTTTCACAACAGTAATGAATGATCACTTGCTATTCTGCTTTAAAATTTTTCTTTAATGAAATGGTCATGAGCTTTCTGTGATATTCAATAATCTGAAATATTAACTGCCGTTCAGTTTCATCAAGTGTTAGCACATTATTAAAGTCTGTTGCTAACTTAACAGCACACTGAGCACAGTCATTGGTGACTTTCATGCTTGTTATTTTTTGCTTGGCAGTGAAATAGACAGGACAGAACACCCATGCTGGATTATTAGTAAGAAAAATTGGTTCAATTTTAAGCGCAGTGAATAAATTCATTAATCTTTGAGTAACAAAATCTGACAAAGTTTTTTCCTGAAAGTGGTTAACTAATTTTGAATCAACTCTTCTGAGATCAGTTTTCATTGGTTGTTTCTTCAGAGCAACAATCATAGCCCCTCTTTTTTTCTATTTGGAACA